TCGTGGTTAGAATGAGAATGTAGCGTCACTAACTGTTAAACAATACACACACATAACATTAACCGTAAATTGAAGTGCGAATATTTCAAACTTTTTTGGTCGTTTGTTTTTGTAAAATGGCACATTAACTACAGTCTAGCGAAAAACATATTTTTCTTATGTCATTTATATAAATGGTGCAATTTCAAAACCTTCTCAGACTTCCATTTATATTACATAAATGAATTATAATTCATATTGTCAGTTTATTTAAGACAAGTTTTATACAGGCTCCGAATAAAGTGAGTTCTTGCAACACAAGCGACAGCTGTGCGGTGGCAGATGCTGCGCGAATTCTTTATGTGGCGAGGCTCCATCTTTATGTAAATGTGTTATTTACACAGAACAAGTAACTCTACGTAGATGGATGCATACACGATCAGCACAGGTGGAAGCGTGGGAGTAAAAAGTAGATATTACTTTACTGCACAATTAATACGTTGGTGGTATCGTGGCTTTTCGTGCAAATTAAATTGTGTCAGCTGCTTGGCCCACATCGCATTGTCTCGTCGTGGGATCAAGATACTATTATTGTTCATCGGCGAACTGTTGGTAAAATAGAAAATTGTGAACAATAGCGTGTTATTTTTTAACTTCCCGCGCCGAAGCACTCGGAACCAGGCAAAGAATAACGTCTATACGTAAGAGCATGCGACTTGAATATGATCAGCATTTCTAGTCAGTCTGCACGTACTTTCACAGTGCAAACATTGGATAATCAACAACAATAATTTTTTAATTAAAATGTTTACAAAACGTTTTCAACTTCATGCGCAGAACATGTAAACAATTGCGAATGTAGTTTCACATTGCTTTCTACGCTATACAATGTGTTGCACCTTTATATGCATATAATAGGTGCTGATAAAACATCACGGAGACGTGTCACGAAATTGAGGAACCTAACGTTTGATTGCTGGGAAGATAAGTTCATATTTCGCTGTTATCTCAACGACTAGACATTGCATATCAACAATAATTTTACATAAATACATTGGTCGTTGGCCGTATCATGGCGAAATCTTGCGGAATCCACCATTTAAGGTGGAGACGCGCTGTTTCTGAACGAGTTCTGCGTAGATGTTTAATTCAAATAATCTCGCGCATTTTGTAATCCAACGTGTTGGTAAATAACTACATACATTTGACGTGCTTAATGTTGCGAGCAGGTCCTTGTAACCGTAATATTTATGGTGCGAGTAACACATTACATTAGACATAGCAAATTAAGATCAAATCTTGCAAATAAGTATTACCTACCTACATTTTAGGCATATTTATGCTTTAATATTTGATTTGAAAAGCGTAACACAATAAATTTGATGCACCCGATAGTTCCTACACTTCCTTACTTGTCGCGGAGAACCTAACGGGTAACCGGGGCTCCGACTCGACGTGCAGGAGAAGGAACGGGGTGGTTTTTAGTCAGTAAGAGTCTGACACTCCCTTCCGCCTCACCCAGGCGGGAGCAGTCATTCGATGATTTTCCCCCCTTAAAAAAAAAAAAAAAACACTTCCTTACTTCCTATGTTACCACCTAAGTCAAACACTGTGGAATGCAAAGGATTGAATTGAATAGGACTTATTTTAAAAAAATGTTAGTAACAATAATAAATTACATGAATTACTTACTACTAGTAGGTACTGTGATACAGTTAAACAGATGACCATTAACATAAATTATAAAAAATATTCATTAGCTATTTTTGTGTACTGAAACAATTTTTTGTATCTATGCATGCATATAATAATATACAAACATACATGTAATTTATACCAAATTACAGAATGAAACAGGATAAGTAAAACCTTTGTAGCAAGGACAAAAAAATTAACATACCGTGTTAATATGTTGATATATCATACCCAAAATTTGTTCATACAAAAGTAGTCTCTATACATCGGAAATAAGGTCTATAATAATGCAGTTGGTTAGCGGTCACCGGTGACCGCTTGGGGATTGAGCAGTTCAAATGTTTGAATTTAGTTACCTATATTCAGGTAAGACAAACAATTAAACAACAGGTAAAGTGCTCATTAGGTGGACAAGTACTTAGAAGTACAAGGTGCAAGGTAACAAGCACTAACTTCTAAATGAAACATAAGCTGATAGTTAAACTTGATAGATAGACTAACATGTCAGCCTGCTGTTTCCTGTCAATATTCTTTATAAGATTTTCAACCTTTTAGTTCTGATATAAAGTCTAGTTTACTACTGCTAGTAGTGTTGATATAAAGAGGTTTTATAAAAAACAGCATTTTTAAAACTTATTCTTTCTTTTTTAGAACTTTTTAAGTTTTTTAGGGCTCGGGAATACTCAAAATTTAAGCAAATAATTCATAACTCGAACACTACAAAAAATCACAGACATGAGGGTGTTTCGGATTCACTAAGGGGTGTTCAAATCTCAGGACTTCTGCTTGACACTTATTTCCTGGGACACACACTCTTGTATTTTACACACATTTGAAAACTACATAAAATAAGATAAAAAACTATAAGTACCAGGAACAAAATTTTATCTTATCTAGTTACCAGAAGAATCTCAGGGTCCACCGGTAAATGCATGAGAAATCAAAAATGCTGTACTTAAGTCTTGTCACAATAATTTAATGAAAGATAATATAATTATCTGCAAGGTGACTGCAACAATTTTACAAAACCAGCACTGTTGACAATTAAAGATAATATTTAGGAATTTCCTTGATAATAAGAGAGAGAAAAGAAACTTAAATTGTTAGAATATTAGTTTCTGCTATTTCTGAACCAAATCAGACATTTGTTACGTATTATGTCTGTATATGTCACACTACAATAAAAAATGTATTTAGTGTATTTATCTTACTTAGTTCTTAGAATAAAGTAATTTAGTTGCCACTACAGAAATAATATGAAACCTTTCAAACCGGATTTCATATCAAAGCAGACACACTAACTTGTCAATATTACTAGAATGATCTTACATCCGGTTAAATCTAGTTACTTAATGTTGCATAAACGAAGGTAAAACCTCCTTATAGCATTCAGGTCTTTGCAAACCTTTTCATTACATTAAACAGATGTGATTATCTACAGTAAATTTCTATAAATTTCATGTGACACCACCACTGGAAAATAACTAAATACATTCATCTCACTGGGGGGTATTCTGTTAAAATGATAATAATATATTCTTTCAATAAGCTACATCAAAACATATACAAACTGAAGCAAATGCCTTTGTTTCAATGATTTAGACTTACTCCAAGGTTAATTCAGACAAGTACAAGGCATAGTGTACTTTTAACTTAATTTATATTGATTGAACATACATAATTAGAGTAAAGGAAGACAAATATGTCGATATTATTTAAGAATTTAATGAACTACATAATTATAAACGTGTTTCTAGTAATTTTAAAGTGCTGAAAAGTAAAAGTGAAGCAATATAATAAAACTTACCACATTATTGTAGTTGAAGGCTGTGGCCCCAGGCTCGAAGTATTCTCTATTCATCTTATCCCCCATCTTGGCGAACGCAATCACTAACTTTTTATAGTTTTAGGTACACACACAACCATTATCAACAACAACATTACTTATTTTCTAGATTCTTGGAACATTTTCTATGATTTAAAGGAAATTCTACGACCGTTAGGAGCGTCCGAACGAGCATCGTTGAGCCTATATTTTGATACACTATTAGCAAGTGCTATCATAACTATGATATTTTATGCATAAATTACATACAATGGAATGTTATTCAATTAAAACACAAACAATAAAACATTAAATATTTGCCTAAATCTCAATTTAATAATTATTTTATTCGCTATCCAATACTTCTTGACAATTTATTTACCTTGACACATATAAATGTCAAAGTCGCCATCTTTTAATTCCACAGATATACTAAAAAATAATCTGATAGGCTCAAATTCTCGACACTACATAAATATCCGAAAATCCAGATATTATATTATCTGGAGGACTATAGATGATCGTTTTTTGGATAAATATTCAAAAAGGATTTACTGACTGAATATTATTCTGGATCTCAAAAATCGCTATCATAAGAGACGACTCTCGATTTGAATATTTGTGTAATAGAATAAAAAAAGATCTTAGATGTAGAATAGGTACTTTAGCTCTTCAAACACAGCACATTTCAAGTTTTATGAGAAATTGAATGTAAAACAACGAATTATACACTACTATATTTATCTACTTTGGAAACATAACTTCAAATATATTTATTTCTATTCTGTATATTTAAGTTTGAATAATGATTATAATAAAAATAAAAGACGATGCATGAAAGCAGGTTTAATGGGTTGGAAATGAGAGCCCTGAGAAGTATGGGTGGACTAAAATTTAGTGATCGAGTGTTATTAGAGAAAAGTGTGATTTTTTTTTAAAAAACGTTGCCCCCCGCTAGGATTTTCTCCTGTGTCGTGGGTGCGTTTACAAACATACAATATCACATACACATCACACCCAGACCTGAAACAACAATTTGTGGATCACACAAAGTGTTGTCCCGTGCGGGAATCGAACCCGCGACACGTTACACGGCAGCCGGTTGCCCAGCCACCGCACCAACCGTGCAGTCAGTTGAAAGATGATGTAGTAACAAGGATTGAAAAGGGAATATTACGCTGGTTTGGACATGTAGAAAGGATGGATGAGAGTAGAGTAACGAAAGAAGTATACAGAGCGGATATGAATGGGGCCGTCGGTAGAGGGCGCTCTAGACGGACATATAGTGACCAGATTGGCGATATATTAAAGGCCAAATTAAAAGTACCCTTAACCGACGAGCATGCATGAAAAGATTGATGACTGTTGATGAAACGAAAGAGGTATGTAGGCATCGTAATAATTGGCGTTCCCTAGTCTCTGTCTACACCCACGGGAGACAGGCGTGAAGTTACGTATGTATATATTTATGTAAAAATAAAAGATTATAATTATATCTCTGCTTCATATATTTATTCAAAATTAACAAATTGTTTTAATTAATTATAATATTTAATCTAGGTAGTTGATTACACGATTTATATTATCATCCAATAGCAAATAGCTCTGCGGTTGAAAAGTTAGTTTTCATATAAGTTTTATATATAGGTTTAAATAATGAGTTTTCATAATCGGATCTGAATACTATCTTGTCTAGTAGGAGAATATCTTCAAGTTTTTTTGTAACAGTAATACAACATCAATATTGTAAAAGTTGAATAAATACATAGCTGTTTTATGGTAGATCAGATATCTAATACCAGATACATGTCTTATATACAAAAATATAAAATTATAGCCTATTTTCAAACACGGGGCTTATGTAAATTCATAATATATTACAATGAACGCTTAAGCTATAACATGTGTAGTGGGACGATCATTGCTGATAGTAATTAAATATAACATGTACACACAATAATTACATTGTATTACATTTTTGCTGATAATAGTAATAACCAAATCTTCAATCAGACTTTTCATCAAATGTGTTCTTTTCAGGTACATTAAACACCCACAAATAAACATGTTGGAATGTTAACATGAACAATATGTATAATGTCAAATAAATTTAAATTTCGAACTGACACTGGTCATCACAGAAATTCCTTATTTATCCCTTATCCAAAACAATAATGCACAATGCTAATAAATGAAAAATATTATTAATAGTACCAATAACCGATGAAAACTATATTATGTAAAAAAAATAACCCAGTCCACTTCAGGAATTTTGGGATTTAAAAAAAAATCAATATACAATGAAGATTAATTGATTTTTAAGCCCATAGCCCAAACATGTGATATACATATTTCATTTATTCCTTTTTATCAGATTTTTTATCTCCATTCGTAATTCCTTCATTGTTAAGCGATTGTGTTGTGTTGAATTTGTTCATGTATTTTTTCAGATCCTCAGTACCAACGCGATCTGCGATCATTTTAAGAGATAGAGCGAATACTTCATGAGCAATGTTTTTGTCGCGTGCCATTGCAGACTCTTCACAGTAGAAACAGTTGTTGAAGTACAGGCCGGTTACACCTCGTAGCTCTGGGGCTGTTGCGGCGTACACTGTTGTCGCTGCTGCTTGTTGCTGTAACATTACATTGGTAATTGAGAAAAAATTATGACAGTCAAGATAGAATAATTAATAAATGTAGATGCTGTAGTTTCAAATGGGAATATATAACTATGCTAAAAAGATTAAATCTAAAAATAACATAACGTCACGACTTTTTCCCCCAAAGGGATAGGCAAAGGTGCACATTGCGCCATTTAATGCCACGGTACAATGTTACACCCACTTTCCACTATTTATGTTATGAGTCCCATGTAATAGGAGGTGGGCCTATTGCCACAATTCTAGACTTTGTGCTACCATTGAGATTATTAAATCTCTTAATTAATAAATTTAATTAAAAATCTGTTTCGTTGTACTATTATTTCTTTTAGTAATTATGTTGTATACCCTTATTTCTAATTCCATATTTTTTACTATGATACCTTACTTACCAAAGATTTAGTGAAAGGTCTGACTAGTGCAAATGCTAATCTGAACAGCCACCATGACTTGCTTAAGTTTGTGAAAACCATGTTACCAGGGTGAAGAGAGTTCACATATATATTTTTCTTCTTCCATTCTTCACTTAATATCTGAAAATTTAAACAAAAATAACTTTAAAACTTGATGTTAAATGTACATACCTTCTCAGAAATAGTAATATAATAATTTTTAAACTTTTGCCAATTATTCTATAAGTATTAGGTACTTATAGAATAATTGCACTAATACAGGGACAATCCTTAATACTAGTATAAAAATATAGCTTACACAAGAACTTTAATATTATACCTAATGCTTTGTACAATTATAACACAAATATATGGTTCTATTTTGTTATCTTGAATGGCATTCTGTTTCATAGTTACCTTTGCACTTATAACATTATACAATTTAGAGTTGTTATACGCCATCATGGAGCTATAGGATTCTCTTGGAAATGCAAGATTTTGCAGATTGAAGACATTCTTAAGACTTGCAAACCTGGAAAATAAATCATATTACAATAAAACATTATGTAAAACTGTCAAACACCAAGCGGTCACCGGTGGCCGCAACCTATTGTTCTATAATTGCTACAAAACCGGTACTCGACGAGTTAAATACATTTTACTAATGTAAACTATGCATTGATCATAATTTAATAATTATGTATGTGTGGATGACAGAACAATGACTTGATAATATTAATATTTAAATAGTTTAGCTATAAATTGTCCTGTAATTCTCACAAAGGTTGTTATGCTGGAAACACAATGGTGTTTAATAATGAATTATAGGAATATAGATTCTTATCCAGCCATATTTCTTACATTAACATTATAAACCAAATATTAAAATACCTATGTGACTCTGAAGAGACGAATACAACCCGTGAGCCTTTCTTCAGCAGAGGTTCCAACAAAATGGCCAAGTACAAATGACTTAGATGGTTAACTTGGCAGGTCATCTCAATTTTATCCACTGTTTCTGTATATGGCACTCCAAAAATACCAGCATTTAGGATCAACATGTCTAGGCGGCTGTAAAAAAAAAAAAAAAATATCATGTCTTTGATCATTTGAAATGGTAAGTAAAAGTGCACAAAACAATATTATTATGACATATCAAATATTCTATTGTCAAGTTGTGATATCTTTGGTAGTGTACTAAGTTATTGGGTCATCATATTTTTAGAACAAATAACAAAGCTGTCATAGACAAAATCGGCTACTCAGTAACACTATACCTGCGTGATAAAATCATTATAATTATAGCAAGTTACCAATGGAATAAGCTGTTATAATAATAATAATTGTTTTAAACAAAATGATAGCACATTTTTAATTTGAGAGACTGGTAGAGAAGTGATTTACAGATTAATAAACTGGTTCTATAGTCATTTATTATTTATGTTGTTGACTTTTAAGTTTAACAATTTATACAACTAAATCTTGCACATTTATAATTTCAAGGTTGGTGACAATTAGACAATTATTATTTTCCTACACAACATGTAAAAGCATTAATAGGGACAATACTTTTTTTGGAGCTCTTAGAAAACTTACAAATTTATATAAATATACCTACTCAGAAAACATAGATTTTACCGCAGCTGCACACTTCCTGACACTTTCAAAGGAGCACAGATCTAAATGCACAGCTTTTAAGTCATCTTCCGATGCTTTCGTTTCTTGCAGTATTTTTTGAATAGCTTCTTTTGTTGATTCCATATTCCTATTAGCAAATATGACACTGCAGCCATGTCTTGCCAGAGACTTGGCAGTCTCAAACCCAATGCCTGCATTGGAACCAGTTATCAAAGCATATTTGCCTGATAAGTCTATTCCATGCAGTATCTGGAAAACATATTAAACACAGCGGGTTTTAAAGTAATAGTTTAAACATCATCTAAAAGTAGACAATTAAGATTAATTATTAAAGTACATACTATGAATAATAAGCAGTATTTAGTAATTCAGAAAATTCTAGTTAGACTCAGAGAGAATACTTTTTTAAACTGACCTGGTAGGCTGTGGATGATGCATCAAATCTTTGACGAAAATCATGAACATGTTCTTTTGCGTCTGTGGCAAAAGCTAGCCTGGGGTCCACATAAGTTTTAGTGCCAGTTTCTTTTTGTACATAGACCACTTTGTCCTCCTCGTCAAATGTTTTTGTCCAGCCATAGGGAAGCTCCTTCGGTATCTCTTTCTTTCGACCTGTCCTTGGATGTGTCCATTGCGTCTTATTGTTCAAAGTACTGGAGTACAAAGATCAAAATATTTTTTGTTAAGTTATAGGATAAAATCGTGATATAACCTATCGGGTTGTCCAATTAGCGACTTACTTTATAAAATAAACATTTCCATCTTCAGTTGATTTCTGTTCCCACCCCGAAGGTAATTCATCTTCACTATCAGACTCTATGTGATGCATTTTAATTCATTTACTACGAATATTTAACCGTTTAAAACACTAAGTTACTCGTAGTACAGACGTATTTTGTTCAATACAAATTAGAATGAAAATATTTTGATAGTTTGACATTGACATTTGGCAGTTGTCAGTTGCCATACTTTTCATTTATTCTTCCTAGCCATAGATTTTTGAACAGCTTTACTTTGTTTGGTGCAAGAAGAATTTCTTGTTCATTACTAATTTCTCTATTATAACCTAAAGTTACTGATATCACGATACAGGTGGTGTTTTTGGTCTGACTTCATAACAGACTAGCTACTCCTGCGCGGTTTCACCCACGCTCGTTCGAACCGTGATGTTTTATAACTCTCATCCTTCCCAGTGATTGCACTACCCAAGACTAAAATAATTATTCAAATGGGACCAATTGTTCCGGTGATTAGCACTCTCAGGCAAACAAACTCTCCAGCCTTATATGATAAGTATAAGTAAGGAGATTATGATTTATTATTTAAGGCTTCTATTTTAGGTGTCTATGGTCGACGTCGATTGCTTACCATCAGGTGATCTGTCTGCTCGTTTAGACTTATCCAATAATAAAAAAAAAAACAGAAAAATAAAATACTATCCATTATCAGGTGATCTGTCTGCTTGTTTACTAGCTTATTCCATAAAAAATATAGTGCGCTGAGTGAATATTGAATATTTTATGTAGGTAGGTAATAAAAAGGATGACCTGCTGAAGTAACTATAGAAATTATTTGAAATAATAGACTAAAACATATAAAAATCTTAATTTATTGTGAAATGCATTTAATAACTATGTAGTTTCACAGTCTGGTATCTTCTATTTCTTGAACTTTCTTATTTGTTGGTGGGCTTTGAGAACTTGGTAGCACGAACGAGAGTACACCACAAACTGAAAGAAAATTAATACGTAACTATTTATCAGAAAACTGATAAAAAACTGAATTCCACGTAGGTGCAGAGATGTATAATGTACTTAATCAATAATCAAAAAGGCTACACTGACTGGTAGGTAATAGGCATAATACCAATACTGAAGTAAAGTAGGTAGGTGCCTATTTACTATATTATTTATTTATTATGCGGAAAAAGTTATTTATTGCGTAGATACCCACTTGTTTATTTTATGCGTGAGCTGTTTATATGCGTCAATTAAACCAACCTTGACTTTATATCAAAATTATTTACTTGTCAGTGGTATCATTATTTCAAGTTTTATGTTATACATAATTTTACTTTACACATGTACGCAATTAAAGATTTCACTTCGAACCAAAGATCATTTCTTTAGATTTCGGTTCGATCGTTCTATTTGTAATTTAAGGCCAACTCACAAAGCGATTTTGGTGTGTTTTGAAATATTTCTCGATTTTGTCATTTAGTGCATACCTTTAAATAGATTGATTTATAGTATACCGACTTAGGTAGGTACTGACGACAACCAAAGTATACTTACACAGTAATAAACCTCCAAATAGATAGAATGTCAATTCGCAAAACACATTCAGCAGGATGCCAGCGACGTTGGTGCCGACTATAGACCCAATACGTCCAATCATCATTGTCAGGCCTATAGCCATGCCCCTGTAATTGATAAACATAAATTATGCATGTCACTCTTTGTATGCAATACTTGTATCTATTACGTATGTATTATGGGTGTAAATCTTGTTGTTATGAAAATTCTCGATACCTAAAGGTATGAAGGTACATGCTCTAAAATAGCTATATCTATACCTGCTAAAAAACAAGCAGTAATAGTAATATTGAGCATGTTCAAAAATGTAACACTAAAAATCGCGGGTGACTCACGTGAATATAATACTGAGACTACTGTGTACAGTACAGTAGGCTGCGCGACATCGCTGCGACCGCGCACGCTGCTCATGAGGAAGAACCCCTTTGTGGTTCGAAAGTAGTAGAGCTTTTCTCAGTATATTTACGTGAGTAACCCGCGATTTTTAGTTAATTTAGTATGTCTCACGATAGTTATTACAATAAAATGTAACACATTTCGATTCGCAAACATTCCTGAAATGAGCATGCCTATTTTGCGCAACATTCCGAGACACATGTTACTAAACAACAAATGCTCAATTGAAGCATGCTTTCGAGCTTGATTGGTCTAATCACTAATAAAAAAAATGTGCCCAGTAAATGCCAATCACATTGGTTGAAATTTTAATTTACAGTCTTCAGAATTGTGAGACTTGACTGAAAAGTAGTCCGTAAAAAGTGTATGTTGTATTGTACACTCGGCCACACATCAATCTATACAAAACCAGTTTATCCTGGTGTCGCGTCGCATCATCTTTCCGCACATTTAACGTTCAGTTTATACTGGTTACAACATTTAGTTTCTATATAATTGCTGCGGCACACCGAACTTACCTCAAATTCGTAGGGAAGAACTCCACAGCATAGGCATTAACTGGCCCCAAGGCTAGACCCATGATGGGAAAAGATGACAGAAGTACAGCAAAGATCATGTCTTGTGTTATAAAGTTGATAAGTACACAGAATGTTCCTATCACGAAGAACAATGAGATCAGAAGTCTCTTCTTGCCTATAAACTTGACTGTACTACTGACAGCCACTGATAATATGGCACAACTTATGTTAGCCACTGAATTGATCACAAAAGTAATATTTTCTATTGTATCCACGCATTCAGCGTCTGCATCTACCGTCTGAAACAAAATAATTTTGTCAATAGATATATTCAAGACTTGTTACTTTTCTGACCTTTTAACTCGAAGGAAAAAACAGTTTTTCAACGCATGTGATATTATTATTCTTTATCCTTGAGCCGAGTAAGTGGGTAATTTAATGTATCTCGCCTCGTTAAATACTAACCTGATTAAGTCTATCGAAAATGACGTCACAAGCTGTTTTGCCTTCGCCGTCACCAGTGAGCACCCTGTTTAGGACATCTGGTACCCACATGTACAGACCGTTTAATCTGAAACAGAGTTCAGTACTCAGTGTCTAAGTTGGTAGAAATTAGACGGATGATCTTCTTTAAAAGACTCCATTAATTTAAGATATATGCTATAATCCTATGATCATATCTATTTATCTGTGAATGGTAATTTGGACGGGATCGACAATTTATTTTTACAAGGCACATTAATGCCAGTAGGTATCTTACTGATGTGTATACGTTTGTTTCTCAATCACGTCAAAACAGCTGAAGATACCGGGTTTAAATTTGGAACAGGGGTAGATTATAGTCTGATTTTTTTTTAATATTACAGATTAATTCTCCACGGACTCTAGGTCCGTGCCCTTGTCATACATTTTTTTTATTATAATACATCTAGTCAATTTTTATAAAGTAAAGATGGTACCTAGTTACACACTACAAATTAGTCTGGAATTTTATCATTATATCAGCCATTTTATCTTTTTATTTTATGGGACCGCTGGCAGAAACTAGTAAGAGTATCCAAGTAAGTAGTTGAAAACTCACACTGAGAAGATTCCAAACATAAGGAATCCGTTTAGCGCAAACCATTTCAAATATGGCGGTTTGAATAACGGTACGCTTTGTACTTTTAGCGTTTTCAGGAAACTTTTCTTTTCAGTGTCGCGAGGAGGAGCAATCAGCCGTTTAATCTGAAACATATGAAAATCTACCTATAATACCTCATTGCTAGTTAACTATGAATATTAGTAGGTGACATTCTATAATTTTCTGCTAGTGTTTATAAAATGTGAAGGTTAATTACCGGATAATCTTCAGGGGATTTCTTTTTGTTCCTTGCATACATAACTTGAAGAATTTTGAGTGCTTCATCCATTTTGCCCTGAGATACTAAGTATTTTGGACTCTCTGGACCAAAAAGTAGTAAAACTGCCGCTAAGATGTAGAAGGCTGCGTATATGATTGTTAGAAGCCTCCATGGTCTGAAGAGGTATAATCCGAAGTCTATCCGGAAGTCCAGAGGTAATATTGCCCAAGCAAGTACTGGAAAACAAAATATTTTATAAGATTTAACCTTGTCAAAATACTTCAAAGGACTCCCTTTGAGTACTCCCATTTTTGTGTGGGTTGGGGTAAATTCATCAAATGATTCCTCCCGCCTAAAATGAGGCTGAAGAAGTGTCAGAATCTTACAGACTTATAACCATCCTGTTTCAACTCTAGTTCAGTGCCGGGGGCGTCCATAACTACCATGTATAATATAATAGTATGATCGAACTACCCGCGACTCCGGCAGATTTAAATCTAAAAAAAAACGATACAACGTAAAAAGCGTGATACGCTACTTCTAATATATATCTGTGAAACGTGCGATCTTGTTTCATAAATAGTTAAAAAAATTACTTAAACGTGATGTTTATGTGGCGCCACTAGCGATAAACGCTGGACTATCTTCAAATTTTTACTTTAAAATAATATTATATCAATCCATATGGCAACAATCAGTGAATCATTGGTTAGTTTGATAAGATAACTATAGAGATTGACAAAAATCGTAAAAGAAAATAAATTATAAAAATCATGGAGACAATCCGAAGTTCATTATTTTATCATGATTACATTACTTGGCACTTATTTTTTCAATAGTCATTCAAATATTGAGATAACGCCATTTCTGGGGTGGGCGTTGTATTTGTCTTATGCAATAATTTTAAATGACTGTTCTGATTATTTCAATTTTGATTTGGTTTCGAGGACAATTGATTTTAAATGTTTTGGTGATTAATTAAATAAGTAATGTTTTTCCTTGTCGTTTTGTTATTGTACGATTAAATAAAGCGTATTTAGAAAAAGTAGACTGGAGACTGTGTACCAATAAATGTTGCGTACCTAACGTAGGACGCCCACCTGCCCTATTGCCGGACGAGCTTAGGAAGGTGGCTAGATGCGGAAGGCGAACAGTGTGCCATGGAAGAGGCTTAGGGTCATCAGTGGACCAAAAAGAGCTAACGATGAGACTAAAAAGGATTAAATACAACAACCTCTTTGTAATTAACTACTAAGTTAGGTATTGTTTAAAGTTTCAATACTTACATGGTACTAAAGCCGACCCGCTAATCTGTAGAGAATTAGTGATGGATAGGATGACATCCCGGTTCTTGGCAGGAAGGATCTCACCTATGAACGTGTAGGGCACTGCCGCCGGGCAGGCTATGCTGACCAACAGTAATTTACATGTTAAGGTGGAAATAATAACATTGACACTTGGAAAAAATGTAGTTTTTTATTGGTTCTACATTGTAATAAATAGTTATGTTATGTATCACATTAACTGAGTCTAGTTAGTTGTTTATATGTAACTGACTGTTCTTCTGTTGCAATTTTTTCTTAGATATTCTAGCTATGTCTTACCGGAAAATGGCAAATGGAATAATTTTGTTGTTGTAGAGTTAAAAAGTCTTGACCAGAAGAATTGTTTTCGTCACGTTGCATTTCATATTTAATTTTATCATTTTGGATAACATAACCGACTTAATACCTGTATCCAAATTTAGAAATTTGAATTTTTGTAACAACGTATAGTTTTCATTTTTTCATCAATTGGTCTCACGTCAATTCTAGTATATTATACATGAAATTAATTCATCTAGTTACGGAAACTTACCAAAGTGCTGTGAGGAATTTGCAAATTGCAAAAGTGATTAGATCTGGCATGAAGCCAGCTAATATGCCGAAGACTCCAGCAGTTAAGGAGGCGAGTATTACCATCTTCTTACGACCTTTGGTGTCTACCAGAAAACCCCAGGGAAATGACGTGGCGACTATACCTGTAAGCATATTATAAAAGAAAAGTTTTAAGGGCGCAGTGGACAAACTTAGGTTAGGTCCGCTTGAGTTTCGGAGGGCTCGTGAGAGGAGGACGATGGCAGTTTCTGAACATCCTTTATAATTTTTCATCTTGTTGTATGATACGCGACGCGCCGTACGCTCTGGAGGAATGCTGACATATGTATATGCATTCTACTCTGCTCTCGACTTATGATGATAATCACTGAATTCATTATCTGATACTTAGTTAACTATACTAGTAAATGTAATCGTTACCGAGACCTTTAGCTTACAGTTTTGACGTAATTTATCTAGAAATTATACATTTTAATTACAAATTACCATTAAGTAGGTACTGCTGAGATAAATACTTAAATGATAGGTACTGTAGTGCAAGGTGATTAACTGTTTCTATTGTTAACTAAATTCGAATCAAAGTGTTTAATGGCTCAATTACAATCCGATTCTAAGAGAACTACAAAACGGTAATATCTATTCATGTAATAAAACTGTAAAAGTCTTAATTCTGTACACTGAACAAAAAATGTGATTAAAAAATTGTTTGTCTGTCTGTATGTTCACGCATCACGCAAAACCTGCCGGTCCGATTACGATGTATGATACATAACATCATAACATTCCGCCTTTTATCTCCGAAGGGGTAGGCAGAGGTGCACATTATGCCACTGTACAATGTAACACCCACTTTTCACTATTTATGTTATGAGTCCCATGTAATAGGGGGTGAGCCTATTGCCATATACCGAGCACAATTCCTGACTCCGTGCTACTATTGAGATTTTTTTTAAACCCAGTAATACTTTGCCCCACCCGGGTATCGAACCCGAGACTCCTTGCACGGCAGTCGCACTTGCGACCACTCTGCCAACGAGGCAGTCTCTTCGTAACTTCGTATGATTATACTTTAATATCCTAGGTACAACACTGGTAATAAATAAATACATCATGTTTCTAAATAAAAATGTACCTAGAATTAATACTTAATAATTATAAGTATATGTCGTTCGAATTTCATTTCGAGATATTCTAGATACATTATACTTATTTAAAAGATAATAAACCACCTAATTATCAAGTTAATGTGTATTTTATCGGCACGTACTTACGAGCGTACAAATATGTAGATTAAATTGTAAAAAAAACATTTCATTACCTAAAAATACTTTCAAACTATTTTGCTGAGTAATTAAGTTAGTAACCAACAAGTCGTTTGTTTTCTAAACATGACACAGCTGACTATATTATAGTATTGTTTACAGTTTTATCTAAAACAAGCTGTTGCCCGCGACTTTGTCCGCGTAGAATATGAATAATATTAAAATCAAAGTAGCCTATGTTACTCCGTAGTACATCAGCTAACTACCAATAAAAGTCCCGTCATAATCGGTCCCCCCATTCAAGAGATTAGCCAGTAGGTACAAGTATCAGGCTCAAGAAGAGACCTTGCTTGTTATTTATAGAGGTACAACTCGGTTCTGAAATAAAAAATCGTAATAAATCATGCTTGATTGATTAGTATATATGTTACGGCTAATACCCGAAGTGCGGCTATACCTAGTTTCAGCCGGTTAGAACCAGGTGTAGCCACTTACTCTTGGTTAAACCTTGTGTGAGCCGATTGTTTTCGGGTAAAACTAGGTCTAGGCTTCATCATGCCGGCTACAACTAGGTCCAGCCATTCTCTGTTGGATAAAACTAGAAGCAAACAAGTTGACACGCGAGACTCATCGCGCTCGCGCGCCCCTGTTGCCCCGCCTCCCGTACACCCGCGTTTGCCCTTGCGCTTTGAGTTTAGTACGCGTTGTGCCGTTTCGAGGACTCTCGTTTGTTTTCGAGCACGCTCGATAGATTTCGAGGACTCTCGATTGTTTTCGAGCACGCACGATAGAATTCGAGTAACTCTCGAAAGATATCGAGGATTCTCGATAGTTTTCGAGGACGCTCGATAGATTTCGAGGACGCTCGATAGTTTTTGAGCACGCTCGATAGTTTTCGAGGACACTCGATTGTTTTCGAGGACTCTCGATTGTTTTCGAGCACGCTCGATAGTTTTCGAGGACTCTCGATTGTTTTCGAGCACGCTCGATAGTTTTCGAGGACGCTCGATAGTTTTCGAGGACGCTCGATAGATTTCGAGGACGCTCGATAGTTTTTGAGCACGCTCGATAGTTTTCGAGGACGCTCTATAGATTTCGAGGACGCTCGATAGATTTCGAGGACGCTCGATTGTTTTCGAGCACGCTCGATAGTTTTCGAGGACACCCGAAAGATTTCGAGGACGCTCGATAGATTTCGAGGACGCTCGATAGATTTCGAGGACTCTCGATTGTTTTCGAGGACGCTCGATTGTTTTCGAGCACGCTCGATAGATTTCGAGGACTCTCGATTGTTTTCGAGGACCCTCGATTGTTTTCGAGGACTCTCGATTGTTTTCGACCACGCTCGATTGTTTTCTAGCACGCTCGATAGATTTCGAGGACTCTCGATAGTTTTGGAGGACTCTCGATTGTTTTCGAGGACCCTCGATTGTTTTCGAGCACGCTCGATAGTTTTCGAGGACGCTCGATAGATTTCGAGCACGCTCGATAGCTTTCGAGGACGCTCGATAGATTTCGAGGACGCTCGATAGATTTCGAGCACGCTCGATAGCTTTCGAGGACGCTCGATAGATTTCGAGGACACTCGATAGTTTTCGAGGACTCTCGACTCTGACGGTTTCGGCTACGACGACCGTTTCTTGACTACTGGCATCTATCATGGGGTCTCAAGTGGCTGGAAAATCCACCTTTGTTTATAAATATTCTTCCACAGAGTGGAAACGTGAGAACACCATAACCGGCTAAATAAACTCCCACCGTGTGAGTGAGGATGTGGGAGGCCGGTAACGCACTTATGACTAGGGTTGCCACCTTTTATTTTGGTATTTAAAGTACATTGACGATTATAGGTAAGTAAAAAAAAGTACATAGTACAACAATAAAGTACAATTTATTCTTATTTAGAATATTCTATTTTAAAATATATTTTTATTGCTTTATGCAGTTTGTATTAAATTAGTATTTTTACTAAACAATTGCATCTTTACTAGAAATTGTCTAAGAGACGCTGGCGAGTGGCGAAATCGATTCAACATAAATCGATAAATATCGATATGGAATCGATAAGTTTACCGAAAAATACTTACGACTTTAATAGAAATGAAGTTTGCAAAAATAAAGTATTTTCGTGTACTTTATTATTCTTATAAAGTATAGAGTACAATTACCTTAAATAACGTACAATACTTTATTATAAAGTACGGGTGGCAACCCTACTTATGACTCTGAGTTGGTCCAAGGATGGCGCCGATTTACATACCACAAGTTAATTCGTCATAATATATCTCATAAAAAATACTGCATCGATTTCTTACAGTTTTGACTTACCTATGTAAGGTATTGATGCGATAAACCCTCTCTGTGCGTCAGTCATGTCCAGATCACACATCGCTGCTGGTAGCACGAAGGAGTAACCTACTGGTTCCACGATAGCAGATATCAGGAACGTAGCTAATATTAGGCAATATTTGATATTGTACCATCCTAGTCCTGGAACAAAAATAACAATAATTTCACTACTTTTTTAATTATCACATAGGTAGGTGAAAATTTTGTGAAAATCATACATCACATTAATATTAAATGAATACGTAAGTTTCTTTGTTGCTTCGTTGGCCGAGTGGTCCCAATTACGACTGCCGGGCAAGGGGTCTTGGGTTCGATTCCCGGGTCGGGCAAAGTATTACTGGGCTTTTTCAAAATATCTCAGTAGTAGCACGGAGTCTGGAATTGTGCCCAGTATATGGCAATGCTGACCCCCTATTACATGGGACTCATAACATAAATAGTGAAAAGTGGATGTTACATTGTATAGTGCATTAAGTGCCGTAATGTACACCTCTGCTACATCCCCTTCGGGGATAAAAGGCGTGATGTTATGTTATGTAAGTTTCTTTGTTTGGGTGTTTGTTCGTCAATCAGTTCGACTTAGGTAGGTGATAGGATACTTTTATCCCGATTAAATGGTCCCATGAGATAAAACAGGAATATGCAGGCCAAGCCACGGGTAAAAGCTAGTTATGGAACAAATGGTAAAATGTTATACCTACCTAAGATTGCAAATCTTTACTCTTCATTGACTAAAGGTTGATAGAAAGAACATAATTACAAAGTGCAATTGGCTGGTGACAATAATTGCTTACAATTACTCGACTATAGAAAAGGCCATGGTATTGTAATGACCATAATATCGTTTGTTTTATTCAAGATTGATTATTGGAAATAATACCATATTCTTAGTAAAATGTTTATGTATATTCCTAAATCTAAGTAGGTATACTGAAATTAGTAATAAACAGACATTGACGACACACTTAATAATAGTCTTATTGTCTCAATTAATGTCATGTTTGCTCACTGCCTGGTTTATTTGATTGCTCTAGTACTCTGGTTGCAATGGTTAAGGAGTTGCAAGGGATTCCATGTTTAAAAAAAATACAAAAAGGACATGGAAAAAAATATTAATATTTTTTTTATAAAAAATATTATTTTATTATATTTTTTTATTATATTTTTTTTTATAAAAAATATTATTATTTTTTTAAAAATATAGTATATAAATATTTTTTTATTTAATTCTATATCAGCTCATTCCAAAGTGAAGTACTTTGGAATGAGCACCTAGCTTCACTGACAGACAGACGGACGGACTATTCAATTTTTGAGATTTCAAAATACCTAATTAAACATTAATTGAAATAAATGCTTTGACTTTGACTACAATCTGTCTTCTTTATGGGACATTCAGTGGTTTGTGCTTTTTGTTGGCGCGCTCAGTATGTAACCTTTCTCACATCATCACTGTTTCATCGTCGCACTTTGTTAAGATTTACCATAAGTGATTGGGCCAAGATGTTTTGGTGATGTTCGATCTTTATACATACTTAGGTTTTTGTATGACGTACGATTTCCTGTCTCACAGTGGGCAGGGGGCAGGCTGAGCAGGCAGAGATCTCGGTGTAATAATTCGTTGGGAGTCTTTGTTTTGAAACCTTTGTATAATTTTAATGCTGGAATGGAATTTTATGAGGTGTTCTTCGGTACGTCAAGTGATTTATCGGAAAGTAATTTATATGTTAGTTAGGGTTGGTGGGCGACAGTGCCAATCAAAGGGAAATGATACAAGGTTATCATTTCAAATTTTATTGGTGTAGTATTTTTAATGGGATAAGCCAATAAATGTGCGGACGGATCACTTGATAGCAAGCAATCGACGTTGCCCATGGACACCCGGAACATCAGCGGCGTTACAAATGTGTCACCGGCTTTTTGGGCATTAAGAATTTGAGGATTGTTGGGGATTCAGGGATTGAGGAGTATTAAACATGGCTCGTATGCTTTTGACAAAACAAAAAGTGTAAGTACTAGCTGTATGTTTTGTACTAGACCCTTGAATAGTGATATATGCGATGTTATGTCTACGATTATTAATGAATAAATAAGTAACATGTGTAGAACTTTTTTTGTGTTATTTGTGTCGCTTCGTAATAAAGTACCGACGGCATTACATCTGGTGTTTGAATTGATTTGCATGTGTCTAAATTGAGGAGCGGACATAAAATAATTAGATGATGTCTACTGACTACTGAGTGTATGGAATTACATAATACATAAATGTTGTTATTATGTCTTTATTGATGAAGGCTGATATACCATAACAATCGAGTATTTGTTTTTACAAGCTCAGAGTCCTTAGTACGAGTTTCTTTTACGTTAAAAAATCGGATCGAGTAAGCGTTCGGCGCTCTGATTGGCCGGCTCCAATGAACCAACCAATCAGAGCGCCGAATGCAGTCACGTTTCGATTACTTATAACGTAAAACAAACTGGTACTAAGGCCTCTGCTCTATTGAAAACTATTTCATTCCTTACGTCAACTGAACTATCCTGTAAAAGGTCTCCCAGATGCAAATTATAGATAGATACATTTTCAAATAGACGTAAGGTTTTTTAAAGCTAACTTGGTTTAATCGCACTTATGTACCTAGACAGTTTTCACACCTTGAAATAGATTGAATATTTATTTGAATCAAGAATCTGAACATAAAATAAAGTATAAGGTTGCACTGTTGTCTATAAATCAATGGATCAACGAGAGGGATCAAAGTAATCATTTATTACTAACTGATATTGTATAAAAACATCGTAAAATCGGACTCATCAGTTTAGTTCACGATTTAAGTAGTAGCATACTAACCCAGTTACTTGACACGCAACAGCATTTATTATTTACCTAGGTACGTTAGGGATTGTGCACGAAATAAGAAATGGTAGGAGTTCATTTCACCTCTATGGTAAGAAAGAAAGGAAGAGAGAGAAGGAAATAGTTTTATTTTATACGCTAACACAGGTAACACATACAGATTATACTGTTACAAAGTTAGTTTCAGGCACGAAAGCATGCTTCGATTGAGCATATTTGTCTCTTAGTAGCAAGAGTGTCGGAATGTTGCTCAAAATTAGCATGCTCATGCTCATTTGAACGCTTGCGAATTGACAGGCGTTCGATTTTTGAACATTTTTGAGCGTGCTCAATAGAACGCGTTTTAGCATTTTTTTATGGTATATGCCGTAAACGAACAGACGTATCACCTGATGGTAAGCAATCGGCGTCGCTCATGGACACATGGAACACCAGAAGCGTTACAAGTGCGTTACCGGGCTTTTGGGGATTAGGAGTTTGAGGATTGTTGGGGATTCAGGGATTGGGGAGATTGGGGAAGGGGACGGTAATTGGGCCTGCGGTAACACCTCCGGCCACTGCGGCCTCACTCACACGACGAAACGCAAAGCAAGCGTTGCTTCACGTTGATTTTCTGTGAGGCCGTGGTATCACTCCGGTCGAGCCGGCCCATTCGTGCCGAAGCATGGCTCTCCCATACTTAAGCATGGTATTTTAGAGCATAAGTAGCAGTTCTTTTACTAAACCTACGTATAATGAATGTTCTATGGCACTAGACTCATCCTCTAACACAACGGGACTTATACGACGACTAGTGAAAAGACTACAACGATTAAAAGACTTTAGCTATGTTCGCCAGATCGGCTGAATATGAACGGCTATCTAGTTTCCTGCTGATAAATACACTGACATTGGCAGTGAGACATTCTGGTTGTATGGCGTGGGATTGTCCTTGAAATACAATTATATCACTCGTCGTTCTCCGAACCCGAGATAGGCAAAGTGGGTTACTACTATTAGAACATTATAACTAAACGTCAGTTGTGTTATACCTAATTGATACCAAATTTTCGCGTGATTTCCGAAAACGGGATAAACTTGTGTACTTGAGTTCATTTCGGGGATAACGAGACTTTCGAACATGGAAAACTGCCTTTTTGGTGCGGCTTGATGTAACTGCTGAGATAAGTGTACAGACATTTCGCATCGATCTTGGTTCATTTGATTAGTCTCGGATATGTTATAGTTAGTATTGTTTATTATGTTACTGAAACCGCTACCCTACTTATTTATAAATATCTATCTAAAACGTAGATACTTGTTTTTATAATAACTATTTAGTAGGCTGCGCGACATCGCCGTGACCGCGCACGCTGCTCATGAGGAAGAGCCCCTCTGTGGTTCGAAACTAGTAGAGCTTATTTCTCAGTATACCTATTCACGTGAGTAACCCACGATTTTTAGTTAACGTAGATACTTAATAGAAATCTATACATAATATCTCACATGAAATAAAAATCAAATAAAGAGGAAAACTCTACACATAAACAGACTGCATTGTTCTCGCATTTATGAATATTAGTTTAGCTATATTAATATGGTAGAATATGACGGCTTATCTATCATATTGTTTATTTTGTGTATGTAAAACAGAACTCCAAATATTAGCACAACGTGCAGGCGGTTTATTGATAGCGTTAACATTTAATCGTCGTAATTGTGTAGTAAATCTTCTAATCTCTTCTGTATGTTATCATTATTTATAGCTATCAGCATAGCACATATAGGAAAATTTTGTTTGAACTCTGAAATATGACGTGAAGACGTAGGTAATTAACTAAACTGGCTTTACGTTGTTGCTTATTAAGCGTATCTAGAGTTTAGATTTCTAGTTCTTAAGTTACAGTCCTGCAGGAACATCGTGATAATAATTAAGTATTAAATCTCCACGAACGCTTGGTCCATGTAGTTAGTAGTAGCACGGAGTCTGGAATTGTGCCCAGTATATGTCAATAGGCTCATCCCCTCTTACATGGGACTGGTAACATAAATAGTGAAAAGTGGGTGTTACATTGTACAGTGGCATTAAGTGCCGCAATGTGCACCTCTGCCTACCCCTTCGGGGATAAAAAGGCGTGATGTTATGTTATGTTTATTTGTGTCAGTGTGGATAAATATGGAATAACAATAACACGACCCTTGCGTAATTACAAACCATTGGTTTTACTATTGTTGTTTATCTATTTGTGTTTAGTGTATATTTGTAGGTCGTTAACACTGTTACTGGTAGTTTACGTGAAATCTTGAA